CACAAGGAACAACATGACTGGTCACAGAAGCCACAAGGAACAACATGACTGGTCACGGAAGCCACAAGGAACAACATGACTGGTCAGAGAAGCCACAAGGAACAACAATGACTGGTCACGGAAGCCACAAGGAACAACATGACTGGTCACAGCAGCCACAAGGAACAACATGACTGGTCACGGAAGCCACAAGGAACAACATGACTGGTCACGGAAGCCACAAGGAACAACATGACTGGTCACAGAAGCTACAAAGAACAACATGACTGGTCATGGAAGCCACAAGGAACATCATGACTGGTCACGGAACCACAAGGAACAACATGACTGGTCACGGAAGCCACAAGGAACAACATGACTGGTTTTCATATCATCAGATAAAGCACTTTATTAGGGCATTTCATATATCACCCTGGGGCATAAAATTAACTCCATATTCAGCAAATTTATCTCCTTGACTGCGTACTTTATAAATACTGTAGTAACTGTTGTGTAGGTCTTTCTGTTTAATAAAATAAAGAACACACGGCTGTCGGGTAATAGAAGATTATTGCCAACCCTTGAACTGGCATATTACCAGTTCTCGGGTTGACAATATCCTCTATTAACCCGACAGCCATGTGTTATTTATATATAATAACTGACTGGAGATATTTTAATGTAAATGGTGGAAATAATCTTATAATTTGTTACAACTAAACAAGGTTAACACCACAAATAAATATTATTGGACGATAATTGAGTAATTGCCCAGAGAAATGTATAAGTTTATTGAGGAATTCTATAATAACACTCTGCTTAAAGCTTAAAGAAATTTCCTGAAGAGCACTCTAACTTAATGTCATGTAAAACTTATTGCTTTCAAATTTTCATAATATTTTCAGATCATTCTTGGACGCCTTTCACTTATATATAAGTAATAATGCATGGACTTAAGAAAATGTAATGTTTGTTTTAATCCTTCTCAAAATGTATGTTTTGTTCCTAATTAACATTCAAAATCTTGATTTTATATCAGTAAATAAAATTGCCGTAAGCCACCTTAAAGGCACATTTTGACTCAGAAATCCATAGTTATCTTTAATTCTTTAGAAAATGTGAAACATGAGTTTAAAAAAGTTTTATTAATATATTTACAGCATGATTGATGTTTATCAACTGAAGAAAGTTACGTGCAAAATGTGCAAAATTATTCTGTCATAAAGGTAGCAATTGAAAAGGACTTCCATACAAAATACTAATTCACTATGATTTTGCCACAAAACAAAATGAAGTAAAAGGTAGTTCATCTACAGTAAACTTCACATATAGCGAACACGGTTATAGCGAACTTCCGGTTATAAGGAACAAAATTTTTTTGCCCAAATTTTGCCCTTCTTTATTTAATGTAAAAAATTACGGTTACAGCGAACACGGTTATACGAAATTATCGCTTATAAGGAACTCATTTTTTAGTCCCAATGCCATAAAAAGTACAGAAAATTACACTTTTATAACGAACTCCAAAATATTGGCTATCCGTAAACAGATCACGCATTTTCTACTTTCATTTTCATCGGCACAGATTAAAACTTGGCCGAATGTAGCGGATATATTAGGAACAAATAATAATGATGACAGTTAATCTTAGCTATTGATTGTTTGCACAAGATAAGGTCATACTTCGAGTCTAATACACATGTTGAAGAAACAGTTTTTAAAAGTTAATTGAATTTAACCTGAAGAGTTGTAAACATTCCCAAACTAAAACAAGTAGAGATTTTGATGCTAAAGCATCAAATCGCCGGATAGAAAAATGATTGTATTATCATAAATATAAGAAAATATAAGTTTAATGGTTCAAGTATAAAAATAAGAGGAACAATGAGTTGAGTAATGTTTGCCACTGAGGCTTGTAAGGCAAGTGCTATGCTGGTAATTCTTCTTGTAATTATACTTTATACATATACTGTTGTACCATACATTGAAATCCGTATAGGTTACTAGTTTAGATTCAGATAATTACCGACAAATAATTACCGATCATCGAATATTTGCAAAGTGACTATGAAAATATATATTTAATTATTACATGAAACAATACAATTTTACTGTAAAAGTGTTGTACATCATTATTATGTGCTATAAAAAATATATAATTTAGTTGAAATCAATACACGTATTCCAATCGTTACATACGATATATAAAATTAACGTTTAATTGCCCTTCAGTGCGATAAACTATCAACAAAAAGATAGTTTATTATTTTTTTCATGTATCTAATACGATTCCGGACCCCTGATGTCATACCGTTTTGGAAACCTGCGTGACGGAAATCGACGGAATATACGAAATCAACGATTACCATTATATATTTTCAATAATGTGCCTCTTAAGCATAACATTATTTTGGGATGTTCAACCTTAAGTAAACAATTGAACTTTCTTGTCGAATGTTTGACAGAAAGGGCCAAGTTAAACCCTTTACCAAGAAGAAAGGAAAAGGTTTTGAAAATGTATTTTTAATGTAAACAGGTTTCTCTTATGATATAAAGTATGAGCCTGATTAATGAAAAATAACTTATGTAATTATCTGTACAAAATTACAATGATATACATCTTATCAGTTATACCACCATGAACAAATTACCTGTCTTATCAGCAATCTGTAACTATTAATAGATTTTATAACGATATACAACATATATAAACATGTAGTCACGTGATTCTTACGAAAGACCAGGGAGCATTTGTTTATAATTAGATAAAATAATGTAATATAAAAGGTCTCATAAAAAATAAACAACCAAATAATTCTAAAGTGTCATTTCAAATATCATTCATGATTTATTTATTATAAAATAGCAATGCTTGACACATAGAAAAAAGTAAAAGTATCTCTAATATTCAATGACTGATCCTTGGGGATACGTTATTGATTCATTTTATGAAAATTGTAATGTTGCTTTTTAAGACGTCAATATGTGCATATTTCATTACACTGAGCAAAGTTATCATATGTTTGATTTTTTGTGATTACTGAAAAATAATTTTTGTCTTTAATTGTTCAATGATTGATATGCTTTTATTTTCAGATTTTAAGGGCTTCTCCTACCATAGGTATAATATTAAACTATTACAAATATAGTCGCCGGTTTCTACCGGCGACTAATTAGCGACTTCTTCAAAGCAAAGTGATTATTTTTGTGCATGATACTGTATTGTTAATAAATAACAATATTGCATATATGGTACATATCATATAATTATCTTATAAATATATTTATACATAAAATTATATTGAAAAGAAACAACCTTGCAATTATTCCTTTTTTTCTTTATTAAATCAATATACGGGAGACAACAATGACGAACCCAAGAGTTATTTCTCTTCATCAAATGCTCTTCTAAATGTAGGACGATGGTAAACAATTAGTTCGTTATATGTAAAACTGTTCGCTATCAAAACTTCTGATACAAGGAAATTATTCGCTATATGCTTACAAGGAACTCCGGATATAAGGAACAGATTTTGAATGTCCCAATGAGTTCGTTATAAGCGGAGTTTACTGTATATGACAGATATAGAATTTAATTACAAACTGTAACAAGATTCCAAAAGTAAAAAGTTTTTAGAGAAAATAAAATTGATAGCACTTCAGAGGCATAATGGGCCTTTTACCATTTGAATCTGGACCTTTGCATGCAATAAGACTAGTCTTGATTTGAATATAGAACAGTCTATTGTTTGAAATGGGGATTTCTGATGACTTTTACCAAAATTAATAGAAATCCATATTTATAAAATTCTTCACAAATGTTTAAATACCTGTCTGTATGTCTACAATAATTTTAATAAAATTTTCAAGAAATGAAATAAACTATACATATAACAATATAATAACAAGAAAATTAATTCAATTGTTTTGAACTAACTTTCTGAAAATATAAAAACGTCAAGCTTCATAGATTACAAAATAAACACTTGGTCAATTAATCAATTGATCAATGCTTATAACAACTTCAACTTTATGATGCAACAATAACTGAACAATGATATTTATAAATCAAAAGTTAAAATGATGAAATATGAAAATTATCAAAACTCTGGAAACTCCAAAATGCAAGCAACATTTTACATAAGACTAGAACAAACAAAGTGCTTCATCTATAAACAAGAGCCACTGCAAATTGTAGCCACTCACTTTTTTTCTCATTTTTAACATTCAAAGTTAAGTTTTTAACAGGATGCATACCTTCTTTGTTAAGGTGCCTGTCTGAAATTGAACACTGAATAACTTGAGACATTTTCGGATCAATTTTATGTAAGTATACATACATGTATTATGCTTAAAACAAACATGCAATGACACAGATCGCAAACCTTTATCATTACTAGATCATTTTAAATTCAATGAAGTCATATATCCTAGCTTACAAACATCAAGTGGACAGCCCTGTATCTACATAAAATGACCAAAATGGTATTATGTAAGCACAAAAATGACCTAAAACAAATGTAAACAAAACTTTTGAATACATTAACTATTTGAAAGAAATATCTGTAATTCACCCACTGTAGAGTTCTGTTAAACACAAACATTTGACTGTACGCCACTTTTCAAGCCTTCAAATATCAAATAATGTAATTAAGCTTTTGAGACTTGTTACATAAACTAATCTTTCGTCTCAATACAAGATAACACAAGTTCTGACTTCTTCTGACAATTATTTTCTCAGATAAAGGGCAGGTCTTTTCCTTGCATTTTGGGAAAAAGTACATTGCAGGTTTGGGAATTTTTTTGCGTTATAAATTTTTGCTTAATTGGAAAAAAATATTTGGTACCTCTTGAAACCTCCTTCATTCTTTTTTGGAATAGTATTTTGAATTGTGGCAACATTGTTTATTCGCAACCAATGCAAATATCATGCAAAGTGACACTGACACAAAGGCATGTAGGGGGAGGGGGCGGAGAGAGGGGACATAGATCTTAAGTTAAGAACTTACCCCTGTTTGCGAAATCATCCGGTAAACTGTAAGTTTCATTATGATCTCTGTTCATGCCAAGACACCGTAATCAGTAATACTTGTCTCCCCTGTCTGGTTCAGCTGCGTTGGTACGCTATGACGCTCCACTTCTTCGAGACGTTGTTCTGCTTTATGTAACTGAAAATATACGTCGGTAAAACCTTCAAAGTTAAGAACATATGAGCCGTGTCACGACAAAACCAACATAGTGCGTTTGCGACCAGCATGGATCCAGACCAGCCTGCGCATCCGCGCAGTCTGATCAGGATCCATGCTGTTCGCTATCAGTTTCACTACTTGTTATAGACTTTGTAAGCCAAACAGCATGGATCCTGATCAGACTGCGCGGATGGATAATTTATAAGTTGTAAATTTGAGAAATTGATAAATGAGTTTTAACACCAGCAAAGTATGATATTTTAGACTACACATTATAGAAAATTTGATATTGAATTTCAAGGTCTCTTTAATGGACCATGACCACATTCAATATGCAAAATGCAGCTCTGTTCTACAAAACACCTCTGTTTGGAATAATTAATCGAGGTGTTTGGAATAATTAATAAAATAATGCTGAATTCCTTCTTATCTTTTGAAGTTTGCAGGCGATCAATTTTTTTAAAATGATAGTCAATTAAAATGTCAAGGTCAAATTTTAACACCTTTGTCCAAAATGTATATAATAATTATGTCCTCCCTGTAGGAAGGCTTTAGATGACAAAGATAAAAGTTGCACAACAGACAAGACAAAATGTTTATAATGTGATCAGTGCTATATAGGAGGGTATAAAATCCCAATATTCTAAATAGGTTAATGAATTCATACAGCTGCATGACAATGTTTGTTTGGTTTGGTTTTAATTATGCCCAACAGTTTAGTTCGTAAAGCACCAAAACAGGAAAGAGGATTTTGGTTAACCCAAGTGTTAAATATATCAACTAAAACAGGGGACAGTAAAGCATGCAGCACACTTGAACTGACCATACAGCTTGAACCCACTACCAACCCCTGGCCCCGGCCTCTTTTATTGTATTTTCGGGACTTTTCTTGACCAACTTGTACGCCCAGCCTACATGGCCTTTTAGTAGCTACGCCACTGTTAAAAGCCACACCGAGGGTCAAAACCACCTCACATGCTAAAGCTTAGAGATGCATAGACTCAAGAAATTTATCTCCATTTAGTCGCCTCTTACGATCACGCATGGATAAATTGTGGCTGCAATTCTGATGCCTCAAACCTTAAAAATTAATCCCTCTGCCACAAGAGGGTACACATCTGACAAACATCTGCATAAAAACTAACAGCAAAATTCAATGAGTTTAAAAACTGAAGTCTACAAGATAAGTCAAACATATACTTTTAAGATATACCAGTTTTTTTCTTCTTCAAAACAAGTCAATTGCCTAGGAGGTACATGTATTTTAGGTATGGAAATATCCCATCCTATCTGAACTAATATGCCACTATGTGCCAAAATATCAAATCAATCTACACATCTGATCAGCTTTAAATATTCAATTCAATTAATATAACATTCACAAATCAAAATCTTTATACAATTTATGATACACATTTTTTTTGCCATATTTTCGAACAAAATGGTTGATATCCCATGACCTTTTTGCCCTTTAATATAGAAGAACACTTAACATCTGTTGATGATTTTTTGTCTTCAGGTAACACATTTGGCTAATAGTATTTCATAATTAAGATTTTATTAAGATAACTTTATGAAGCCATAGTTTGTATGTACAAAACAAGAGATTACGACAGGACCAATATGGCTCTCCTGAACAGATCAAAGAAATCATGAAAAATGTTTTTGCTCACCTAGGACAGCAGTTAGACATAGGTGTTCATTATCTAACACTTAATACTGTTGTTACATAATGGAAATATTTCAAAGCAGTGATGACTAAAAATAGTCAGGAAAAAATTTGTGCAATGGGCATTTATAAACACGACACTGGCCAGAACATATATTTTACAGAAATCATTTAAACAGGTACATATGTAAAAGAATAACAAACAAGACATAATCCATGTATTGTTGATATTTATCATCCAATATTGATATATTATTGAATATATTGATATGCTCTGCACTGAAAAAGTTATGTTAGCTAGATAGCATCTTGACAAAATAAACAGATATTGGTACTATATATATATATATTTTGATGTATGCATGTATAGGTCATGAATGCCCAAACATTCGATCAAGAACAACAATTCACAGTAGCTCTTTGAAAAAAAAGGGTCTAAAAATAGAAGCTGGTCAAGTTCATTTAAGAAATCCATCAGGTCAGGTCAAAGGTTAATGCTTATAATGAAATGTAAAGCTTACCTCAGTCTTAGCTCTGTTGACTGTATCCCAAGCTTTTGTCAGTCCTGAAATGGCGTCAAAATACATGTAAACCATTATTTTAAGTACCATAATCCCCTGCATGTTCATTAAATTAAAAGATAATTGAGATAATGATGCATAGTGGACAAGATAATGTGATAAAGCCATATGGTGGACGAGATTATGTGATAAAGATGCATGGTGGACGAGATAATGAGATAATGATGCATGGTGGACTAGAATAGATAAAGACGCATGGTGGACGAGATAATGAGATAATGATGCATGGTGGACTAGATGAGATAAAGATGCATGGTGGACGAGATAATGAGATAATGATGTATAGTGGACAAGATAATGTGATAAAGCCATATGGTGGACGAGATTATGTGATAAAGATGCATGGTGGATGAGATAATGATGCATGGTGGACTAGATGAGATAAAGACGCATGGTGGACGAGATAATGAGATAATGATGCATGGTGGACTAGATGAGATAAAGATGCATGGTGGACGAGATAATGAGATAATGATGCATAGTGGACAAGATAATGTGATAAAGCCATATGGTGGACGAGATTATGTGATAAAAATGCATGGTGGACGAGATAATGAGATAATGACGCATACTGGACAAGATAATGTGATAAAGCCATATGGTGGACGAGATTATGTGATAAAGATGCATGGTGGATGAGATAATGACACATGGTGGACGAGATAATGTGATAAAGACTTATGGTGAACGAGATAATGTGATAAAGACTCATGATGGACAAGATACTGTGATCAAGACGCACAGTGGACCTGATAATGAGATAAAGACACATAGTGGACAATTTATAAAGAAAAGACATTATGAGATACAGACACATGGAGGAAGAGATAATGATATAAGACACAATGAGAAAGAGATAATGAGATAAAGAAGCATGTAGGAAAATATAAAGATGATAAAAATGCATGGTGAATGAAATAATGATGGTGGATGTGGTGGACAAGCTAATAAGATAAAAACACTTGGTGGACAAGATAATGAGGTAAGACACATGGTGGATGAGATAATGAGATAGACACTTAATGGACAAGATAATGAGATAAGACACATAGTGGATAAGAAAATGAGAAAAAGACACATGGTGGATGAGATAATGAGATAAAGACACATGGTGGATGAGATAATGTGATAAACACATGCTTGTAAACATTTTTGTTCTCTGTTATAAGGTCTAAAATTTAGGCTAAATAGAAAGCAGTCGAGAAGATACCAAAATTTGTGATTAGTTTTACCCAATAATTAATTAACCTAATTAGTTAAAAACTGAACGCTTACCCTGCTGGAACCATAGTGATTAGCCTAGGTTCTTTACAAGTGACAACTCAATTTCTGCATTTTGTTTTTAAAAAAAAATCTGAATGGACCAGGGATGGGTACCATTACTTTAAAAATCAAATTATATAGTTACAATTAAATTGAAAAACTTCTCATTACAATTAAATTACAATTACATTAATTGAATTTTCAGATTGCATTTATTTTGAACAAAATAATTAACTAACAAAATTATTAATTAGAATAAATTATTTTCAAATAAAATTGCTCTAATAACTAAAAGTTACAAGAAATATACTAAATCAACATGAAAAACATAATTATAGTTACAGGAAAGATTTTTAATGGACTCTTGAGTCTTCCATATTTAAAGCAAGGCACATTAATTTGAAGGTTACGAGTTAAATGCTTGGATAAGAAATATGTGATAATAAACTCCACTCACATTTTCAGATTAACTCCCATTTCTATATGAGCACATTACTATATTATCTAAGCAGTGCCTTTTAAAAGTATACTAACTAGAGGAATTTTCTCAATTTGAAACTAGCTAAACAAATGTCAAACAAAATGGACCAATTGTTTGGATTATGTACACAACCAAACAAACGTGACAATAATTAATTGTTTAGCACCATCCATTTACCCGATTCATTTCCACCTACTGAGTATGCATGCAGCAAATAATTAAAATTTCAAAGCAGTTTATTGATTTCATAATGCCGTCTGCAACTCTAAAAACTTTAATTTAACCCTTACCTTTATCTTTAATGGACCTAACCATCTTTCAATCTGGACAAAAAACCATTTATCATTTTTTTTGGGGGGGGGGTGGGGGGGGGGGTGGGGGGTGGGAATTTCATGTCTTTGCAGTTTGAACAGCTGGACAGCTACTATTTTTATGTATAATTTTTTATGTATCCCCTAAAACAATAATGGACAGTTCGAAAATGGAAAGCGAACAAGCCCATTAGTTAGATTCCGGGATAATCAAGTCTTATGCTACAAGTTAAGAACAGCAGAACATTATATTGTGATTTACAAAAGCATCTTCCATGAATTGCCTTTTATTTAAGATACTAAGTAGTATTCTTTTTTCACTTTTAGGGGTATGATGGCTGAGGACCCATGGAGAAGGGAAACTTGTGTTGCTAAGTAAGGCAATAGTTAATTAATTATATGATGTAACAGAACATTTTGGTTAACCCTTTACCACATATATACGCGAAACAACGCACTTTCGACCCCCCCCCCCCTTTTTGGGGCCTCAAATAGTGAAAAAATGTCCTATTTGGGCCCTAAACATAAGTTTTCGTTTGAGAAATGTTGCTAAAAAAATTGAGCACTTTTTCGGCGCCGCCCCCCATCCAAAAGATACATCAGGGGGTTGCCAGAAGGGGGATGTGCCCCCTTCTGTTAGGGGGGTTTGAAGGGGGGCGGAGTCCCCCTCATCGCCAAGAAAATTTTGGACTTGTGAGAGGCTAAAAATGACCCCAGGTCGATCATAATGTAACGTTTAATCAACACTGAAAAGCCTTTGACTCTATCTCAATCCCTTGAGAAGTTGCAGCACTTTGAAATAAATTTTGATGGAAAAAATCGAGGCAAAATAGTGATTTTTCGCAATTTTGAAATGTCCCCTCGTTGCCATGGTAACAGAAAATTTAAGACTGAGCATGTCGTTACAAAGGCAATGGTCCAGTCAACATTTGTGCCAAGTTTGATTAGTATTGAAGCATTTTTCTTAGTTTCATAGCAGTTTGAACTTGTAACATGAGGCTTTTCAGTGAAAACGGCCATTTTTCACAATATGCTCATGGGGGAAAGGGTTAACTAAAAAAAATATAAATGTTACAAAACAACAATTTTTCACTAAAATTAGGTGAAAGAACACATGTTAACATGGAAAAACTAATTTTTAGGTGATTCCAAAGTTTTTCATCATTTTTTGTTAACCCTTTACCACATATATACGCGAAACAACGCACTTTCGACCCCCCCCCCCCTTTTTGGGGCCTCAAATAGTGAAAAAATGTCCTATTTGGGCCCTAAACATAAGTTTTCGTTTGAGAAATGTTGCTAAAAAAATTGAGCACTTTTTCGGCGCCGCCCCCCATCCAAAAGATACATCAGGGGGTTGCCAGAAGGGGGATGTGCCCCCTTCTGTTAGGGGGGTTTGAAGGGGGACGGAGTCCCCCTCATCGCCAAGAAAATTTTGGACTTGTGAGAGGCTAAAAATGACCCCAGGTCGATCATAATGTAACGTTTAATCAACACTGAAAAGCCTTTGACTCTATCTCAATCCCTTGAGAAGTTGCAGCACTTTGAAATAAATTTTGATGGAAAAAATCGAGGCAAAATAGTGATTTTTCGCAATTTTGAAATGTCCCCTCGTTGCCATGGTAACAGAAAATTTAAGACTGAGCATGTTGTTACAAAGGCAATGGTCCAGTCAACATTTGTGCCAAGTTTGATTAGTATTGAAGCATTTTTCTTAGTTTCATAGCAGTTTGAACTTGTAACATGAGGCTTTTCAGTGAAAACGGCCATTTTTCACAATATGCTCATGGGGGAAAGGGTTAACATTGAACCCAAAATTTGACTTCAACATGGCTAGAAGTTTTACTATAATACATGCATATAGTAAGAAAGGAAAACAACCTAAAAGATATGAAAAACCAGCTCAAATCAGACACGGGCATGTTGATAACCTTATCACAAGCAACAGAACGTAAATATTAAAAGTTGAAATAAATAACCAATACCCCGTCACTTTCTAACCCATAAATAGAACAAATTTATCAAGATTTTGAATAATTATTTGTATAAACCAATTACAGAATCAATAAAATCAAAGTAGAGCTGAAGTGCCTATCGGCTGTTGCTATATTATTTTCAATTAATGAAATATAAAAAAAAAATTCCGAAATATAAACGATTAATCGCAACAGTATAAAGGGTATCAGAGGTATTTGGCAACGGTCTGCTACATTGGCGACTTGAACGATTGATGATAACTAAGCTTATCACAGTGTAAATTTGCCGTTGTGCCAAAAAAAAAAAAAAAAAAAAAAAAAAAATCAGGAGCTCCCAATTTTGGAGATGGGCCAACACTTTTTTGAATGCTGCTGTAATAAACAAGAGGGCCATGATGGCCCTGAGGTCGCTCACCTGTATATAGGCCCCCCCCCCACCCCCGGGCCAATTTTTACCCAAGGGCTTTTATTTGTTTATTTGAACAGACTTGGTAGACACCCATAAGAAGATGTTTCGAGCTAAACATCTAAGTTCTAGCTCATTGGGTTTTTTAAAAGAAGATTTTTAAAGTTTTTACTATACACATATAGTTAAAAACAATGACACCCCTGGGGCAGGGCCAGTTTTGACCCCCAGGCTTTTATTTGAACAAACTTTGTAGATATTTACTTAAAGATGTTTCATGCTTAATATCTAAACTCTAGCTATTTGGGTTTTTTCAAAGAAGTTTTTGCTATACACATATAAGGAAAATCAATGACCCCCCGGGCGGGGCCAGTTTTGACCCCAGGGCTTTCATTTGAACATACTTGGTAGACACCCATTAGAACATGTTTCATGCTAAATATCTTAGCTCTAGCTCTTTGAAAAGAAGATTTTTTAAGTTTTTACTATATGCATATAGGGAAAATCAATGACCCCATGGGGCGGGGCAAATTTTGACCCCAGAGCT